CCCACCTATACACATGAAAACAATACATGATCTGTACACTCTTCCATCCTTTGACACCATGGACTTCGCAGATCGATTATCAGAATTCTGTGTTTCGCTAAAAAGACTTAGTAGGGATCCTATCCAGCACTACTAGCCACATGAAACATTGAAACTTTGGAGGTATTTTGACTTTCCACAACTTACTAAATTCAAACAAATTAGAATGACCAGGGAAAGCATTCATTAGAGATGAAATTTCTTTAACTCAAAATTTACCTTACAATTCCTATTCCCACACAATCCTGTCTCGCTTTCCTTGTACTAGCTGAATCATCTTATAATTTGTGCATAGTTCTTGCAGCATCTCCTCCTCCCATTGAAAGAAATCTCTCTTGAAAAAAGAGGCCCAATTCAGATGATCTAATTGGTTGTTTACTGCATAATCAACTACCATTGCATACTTATCAGGTGCGATCCGAAACAATCTTGGGAAACATTCCATCAGAGGCTCATTACCACACCATTTGTCAAGCCAGAACAATACGTCCCAACCATTTCTTACCTACCATCTACACGCCCTTATTCGAATGTACTTTTTAAGTGGCTCTTTTGACTGTGTCCCATTATGACTTGCCAAACCATTGACATCTTCTTCATTTTTGTGTCTGCAGGAATCCAAGTCTGAATATTCTCACCATACTTCGCCACCACTACCTTCCACCAGAGTGAATTCTGTTTGTTAGCATATCTCCACCACCACTTTGCCAGCAAAGCCAAGTTCTTTAGTTGTAGATCATGAATCCCCAGCCCCTCCGCTTTCCTAGGTCGACAACCTCTGTCCCAATTAACCTTTGCCATTTTCTTTTGTGATTCGCTTCCTCTCCATAGAAAGCTTCTTCTAATCCTATCAATCTTCTTGATTATACCAACCAGTGCCTTGAAAATGAACATATAATATACAGGCAGGCATGATAGCGTTGAGTTTATTAGCCTAACTCGACACCCAAACGAAAGAAACTTCCTTTTCCACATTGCCAACTTCTTCTGGAACTTCTCTATCATTGGATTCCAAACAGACAGCCTATTTGGGTTTACACCCAGGGGAATTCCCAGATACTTTAATAGCAGATATCTCCCTGTGCAACCAAACTCCTGCGCCAAACCTTCCACCAACTGACTACTAGCCCCGCATTCAACCACGAAACACTTCTCCTAACTCAGCTTTAATCCAGACATCAAAACATTTCTTAATCTTCCTTACACTCTTAACCGTCATTTCATTTGCTTCCAGAAACAGGATGGTGTCATCTACAAATTGCAAGTGAGAAATAGTGAACTCAGAGGAAGAGAACATAATACCTTTTATCAGTGATTTGTTTTCTGCTTCCAAAAGCAGAACGTGCAAAACTTCTGTAATAAGGATGAAAAGGAAACGAGACTGTGGATCTCCTTGTCGAAGCCTCTTTTTGATATGAAACTGATTTGTTGGAGAATCATTGACCAGCATAACTACCCACACTGTTGAGATACACTTTCGAACCCCCCTTCCCCATGTCCTTCCGAAACCCATCCTCTCCATTACCTAATCCATAAACATCCAGGATACACTATCCCATGATTTCTCAGAATCCAGCTTTAAAATGATTCCTTCCTTTGCACACCCATGTCCCTGCTTTAAATAATGGATCACCTCGTTTGCCAAAAGAACACCATCCATGATCTGTCTTCCCGCCACAAAAGCACATTGTGTGTCACTAACCAGATTACCCATAACCTTCTTCAATCTCCTTGAAACACTTTTGCCAAAATCTTGTACAGGGAATTAATAAGCGATATAGGTCTATAATGATTCCATGCCGTTGGCTTGTCCACTTTCGGTATTAACGATATAAATGAGGAGTTTACTCCTTTTTCTAACTTACTACTCCTGTAAAAATACCCTATGAACTTCATCACATCTTTAATTATATGTCAGCCTTTCTTGTAGAAGCTAAAATTAAAACCATCAGGCCCAAACGCCTTGTCCCCTTCACAGTCCCAAACCGCATCTTTCATTTCCTCCGTAGTAAATGGCATCTCCAACTCTTCCACCTCTTCAAGGGACAGCCTCTTGAGTGGGAGAGCGAAGTTCGCAAGACCTTTCTTCCCGGTTGCTTTGAAATGATCCCTAAAGAAATTAAATACCACCTCTTTCACTTCCCTTGGGTTTGAAATCCAGTCTCCATTTCTGAAGAAACATGGGATCAAATTCAATGATTTGGTTCAGGAAAATCCATTGCCTAGCAATATGGTTAATTTTTTGGGAGCACTTTTAATATTTAAAAGAAAAAAATATATTGGAATCCAAACATGTTTTCCCTGAGGTTGGGATTTAGAGACTTGTTGGAAATCACACAAGTTATTTCTTTTCACATAATTTAGTCAGAGAGGAAAGCAAAAGCATCGCAGAGTCTGCTTGGAATTGCTACTTGTCGAAACTTGGAGATTAAAGTGCGTAGGACCATCGAAGGATGCCATCGTTTTTCACTTTCTAGCTATAGGTAGGAAGTGGTAGCAATCATTTCTGATGTAATTGTTATTAGAATCAAAGTTAAAGTGGAATTGAATCCAGAGGGGAGCTTGGTTTGATTTGTATAATTATTCTTATAAGAGAATTTTTAATAATTATAAAGTTCATATCACAATATTTAAAAATTCATCCTCCATTTTTTATAGCTTCTTTTATAAAAGAAAATTTTCAAGTGGAATTTCACCAAAAAGATTGAAACAAGCTCAAGTGGATCAACAATAGGCAAATTTAGAAGGTCTTGATCACTCACACCATCCCAAGAGTGGCTGTCTTTGTGCGTAGCCGGCCTTGGTTTTAATTTCTTAGTTAAATGGGAATGTTCATTGCTCAATGGTAATAGAGTAATAATATTTTATTTATGAAATTATTACAATTAAAAAGAAAAGTTACAATTATAATCAAAATTTATATTTTATATAAAAATTATTAAATAAATCAAAATAATTAATTTATTAATTAGTATATAATTGATAAATTTAATATATAATTAAAATGAAACTTGAATCTAAAACTTTATGATTCCATAACTAAAACAAAGTGTCATGGGCAAATTACAATAACAACTCACAAGCATGAAAATCCAAGAGCAAGATTCAAGCTTAACTAGAAATAATTAAACCATTAAAATTAATCAGGGCCTTTTTGATGAGTAAAAAAAATAAATTTTTAGTAAGTAAAATATGATGTTCGATATAATTCAATTTTTTCGAGTACTTAAATAATAATGACATTACTAATGAATTTTTTATTTATTATCTTTACATCCTTTGAAAAGAGTAAAATTTTTATATTATTAGATAAAATATATAATATTATTCTTTTTATTAAAAAATAATAATAGCATCCTTATGTTAATGATAATATAGCTTGCGCATAATTCAAAGAATTGCAAACTAATTTAAAAGATAAAACATAGATTTATTTAATATAATACAAAAGAATAAGATTTCAAGTTGAAATGAATTTTTTTCATTCTGGGATAAGAATAGTGGGAAATAGACAAATTTGTTTTGAACAGGAAAAAACATGTACTAACAGGTGTTTTTAAGAGTTTTCATTTGATTTGTTTATAAAGTTGTTGGACTTTTAGTTATAATGATTTAAAATCAAACCCTAGAAGTCTTCAATAAAAAAAAAAGCAACATGAAAAAGAAATGAGACAAAAATAATTGAATTTAGAAGAAATTCTAAATTCATTAAGACAATCTATTTTAATTGAATTTTGATTTATGACGTATCACTTTATCATAGTTTAATTTGTTAGCTAATAACAATTTATTTAAAAAATAAAAATAAAAGACAAAAAAGATCATTAAGAAAATTTTAGTTTGCATGATAAGAAATCATATTGGAAAAATGATAGTACTAGATACAAACATTAAATAATAAAAAATTCTTAAAATTCTAATTTTTAAGAATGAATAAATTGTAGATTATTAAAATAATAAAAATAGATTAAAAGTTAAATTATATTATGCTAATATAATTTAAATTCTGTTAGGACTTAAACTTTGTCTTAAGAGTTTTATTTCTTTGTCATAAATGTTGACATAATATACCAATAAAAAAAGATTAAATTGTCTTGGTTTGTGTGGGTTAAGTTAATATAAGTTAACAGTGTATAGCTTACCAACTTTATTAGCCACTTAAATTTACTCTTGCAAATTATGTTTATAAAAGAACTTTTATTCATAATTAATTAAATTTATATAAAATAATTAAACATTATGTGTTTAATTTAATTTGGTTTTACTTATTACCATCACATGTTTTGCATGTGAATATTTATATTTTATTAAATTTTAAATAATAATTATTATATTTAAATACAAATTATGAATCATGGTCGTTTGAAAATATGATTACCAATAACAAGCCACTTCAATACTATTTAGTAAGTATTAATTATGAAGTCATGAGAGTTCAATAAACATTAACATCTGAATTTTTTAAAAGAAAAGGATAAATGATACGTTAGATTAAATTAATTTGTTTTGTGAGAGTACTCAGTTTTAGTTGTTAAATGAATACAAAAAGCTTTATTCATTAAAAAATGTTATTAAATTAATATATATGAAAAAAGTTATTATCTATAGATGTATATTTTTTATAAAGTATATTTTTATCACTTAATTTAAATATTCTAAAATAAATAAATAAAATTACTCGAGCAGTATACATTCTAGTTAATAATTAATTTTGAATAGTGGCAAAAAGAAAACAATTAATTCTGAATTATTCTTTTGAAGAGCATAATGAACGAATTTAATTATTTTATATAAAAAGTTTATGTTAAAAAGTTGGCATCACATTTTAGTTTCTTTACTCATTTTAATCAATTATTATATTTTGACTTTCTATTCTATATTTAATGTTTTTTTTTTTTAAGAACTTTTAAAGAAGCAATAAAAGTAAATAAAAAGACAGTAAAAATAAATAAAAGCAAACGTTAACCATATATTTATTTAATTTATCCAATCAAACATCAAATCAAATCCATACCAATCTGCCACAACAAAGTTAAAGAGTGCTGTAAAAACACATTTTCAAACATTTTGAAATGATGAAGTCATACATTTTCTGAGTACATAATTCTATAATTGAATTTGAACACACATACCAACTAATAAAATACTAGTAACGTTTACTTCCTTGGATTGATGGTGAAATAAGTCTGAACAAGAGTGAGAACAAGTCCTGCTATGACGCCCGAAAAACCAAGAAAACTCCAGTTTCTACTAAAATAATTGGAAGAGATACGTATTAACCACGAGTTGCAATACCTTTGGATGTCGTCTTTAACATCATAATATAAGAATATATTTGGCACCAAGTTCCTGCTCATCCCACGGAAAAAATCAACCACTTCTTCATCACTGCCCAAGTAATTGTGAAGGATACCTGTAACTTGCAACTCCTTAACATCTTCTGTTGTTTGAATGAGAGAAGAAATGAAGCATAAGTAAGAGGTGACAGCATAATCATTACCAAAATCTGGACACTTTTCTAAAGCTACCAAGTTCATGAACATGGAGGCTGTAGACTCATTCAACACTAGGCCTGGCATCTTTAGGCTTCCCAGAATGTTGGAATGGAAGGAAATATTTCGAAGGTTGCATGTCATATTGGGGCTCACTTGAATTCCTGATTCTTTAAGATCCTTGATGCTAAGAAATAGCCTTCTATTTTTTGCCTCGTTTCCACACCAAAGAAGAAACCTACCAATCACGCCCGAGCTTTTCTGTTCTATTATTCCTGACAGTAATTTTGTCCTCAACCTGTCCAGAAGGTGAGCGTAATCTTGCCGTTTTGCTTCTTGTTTATCCAGCCATTGGCTCACCGTCTCACTTGGAATATTTGTCATAAGGTTATCATTTACGAATTCTTTGATTGATAGTTCCCACAATTGGGGACTTAAAGATGAGCCAATCAATATCTTGAGGACTCTGTAAGGAAGTTGGTTTTCTAGCAAGAATAAATCAAGTTTCCCAAATGCCATGAGATCTAGGATGTCTGAAGTGAATGACTTCTCATACTTTCCGATTAAAAAGTAATATGCGATATACAGCACAGCACAATCGTCCACGAAGAACATCCAAGCTAGCTTATCATTATCGTAGTCTTTTATGTCCTCCTGATTATAATACTTCCTAAGATCCTCTATCTCTTCCTTAATTTTGTGAAATAGAGCATCTTCAGTCGTTTCGTTCTTCTTTACGAAGTGAGCTGCCAATAAAAGTTTCGTTCTTTCTCCCCGATCGAACTTCGGGTTGCCATGATTCAAAGGGCCGAAGGCTGCCATCCTCGGTTCAAAATATTTCTTAAAGTTCTCCTTGATAACGCCAACTAGGCGAGGTGTAACTCTTTGTATTAACGGTTTGGTTATTTGAGATACAACTCTTTCCCGGTTTTGTAATTCAAGCAATGCTGATTTTAATTTCATCATCTGTTCTCTCACGAAATCCCCTTGCTCAGTCTCAGGCATAGGAATTCTCACTTCCTCCAGTTTCCTCTGGTCGCTCGCCATCAAATTCTACCAGCTACCTTAACGGTTCAAAGGAGGTAATACAACGAAAGTTAAAGGAAATTTGGCCGGGGTTGCCTGAAGAAACAAAGGACGAAAGGATAGAAGAAATGGTGACTTAGGTTTCTCTGTTTCTACATGCCTTACACTACCCCGAAGATAGTAGCTTGCTTTAACTTTAGATTGATCCAATCTTCTTTATACTTTATTAATGTAACAAGTTTGGCAAATAAATTTGTATGCTTTATCTTTTTGACACAGTGATAGTCAAGACCAAATTCATGAAATAATACAGATCGATCCAAAAAAAAAAAAATTATACTCAGAAAAATCCAAAAATTTTATGTCGCTTAACCAAAAAAAAAAAAAAAATTCTCGCGTTTTCTTCTGCTCACTCTGATTCTCTTTTGTTTGTGCTTGTAATTTGTTTAGAATGAATCACTATAGGCTTTTCTTTTTTTGCTGGAAAGGTAGTAATACTTCTTCACTCACAGGATAATTCAATCAGTTCATATATGATATCTGATAAATCTAAGACTCAAACTTTTATTCTTACACTGCAGCTTACCTTTTTAAAAACTTGTCAAGTTTAGTATATCAATTAATTTTATTTTGATCAAATATGTATAGTAATATACATACCAACTCGAGGTATGTATTCAATTTTTTTTAATTAATTACAGCCTAAAATAAAAATAAAAAAATAATTATATTCAACATGATTTACATAATCTAAGAAGAATTATATTGGTATTTATGGAATAAAGATTAGAATAAAGTATTTTAAAGAGAAAATGATTGCGTACTAACCAATAAATGCAAAGATATTATATTTTGTAATAGTAAAATTTATTGATCGAATAAAGATTAAAGTAATAACGAAGGCAGATGATTGGAATGAGACCGATGGGATTGAAGATATAAAAAGGCAAGAGGATTCCATGATTTGGTTCATTAAAATCCATTGCCTAGCTATTTGGTTAATTTTTTTTGGAACACTTTTAGTATTTACCAAAAAAGAAAAATGGTATTGGTTGCACAGCAGAATCTGCTTGGAATTACGACTTGTCAAAACCTGGAGATTAAACTGTGTAGGAGCATGGAAGGATGCCATTGTTTTTCACTTTCTAGCTATAGTGTGGACGTCGTAGCAATCATTTCTAATGTAATTGCTTATTAGAGTCAAAGTTCATGTAAAATTGAATCTAAAGCTTAATTTGATTCATGCAGCTTTTCTTATAAGATGATATTTAATAAGTTTAAGATTTAAATTTTAATATTTATAATTCTATCTTATATCTCTTTTACAATTTTTTTGTAAAAAAATAAAAATAAAATGAAAAAATTCATTAAAAAGATTGAAACAATCTCAAGTGGATCAACAATAAGCAATTTAAGGAGGTCTTGATCACTCGCATCATCCCAAGAGTGGCTTTGTATGCAGTAGCCCTTAGTTAAATGGGAATGTTCATTGCTCAATGTAATAGAAGAATAATATTTTGTTTATGAAATTACAATTAAAAATAAAAGTTAAAATTATAATAAAAAAATATATTTTATATAAAATTAATAAATAAATTGAAATAATTAATTTTTTAACGATTAATAGCACTCATAGTCCCTAAATTTGATCCAAATTCTATTTTGATCTTTAAATTTTAAAAAGTTTTAATTGGATCCTTAATTGTTCAAAGTTATCCTATTTTGGCCATTTTGTCTATAAACCGTCTAAATTGACGGTAAATGCCAGTTGGCATCATGTAAGGACATCAGCTAGCTCACATGACAGATAAAGGATCACAATAAAATTCTCTCAAAGTTTAGAAACCAAAGATGAAATTATCTCAAAATTTTATATATTTCATGTATGTCTTATAAAAAAACTAATTTTAAATTATATTTGCATATTGTTTATAATATAACTCATTAGATAGATTTTTGTTTTAAATAGAAAATAAATATTCAAAACTTAAAATTAAGTTAAAATTTTCAAATTCATTTTTTAAAAATTTAATACATTTTAAAAACAAAAAAAATTTATTAAAAATATTATTTTACTAATAAGTCATAATAAAACATATTATTTTCTATCCAAAAAATTTATTTTTAAAATATTAAATATCTTTTATTTTTCCTTTTTAAAATAACTTAATTTTAATTTTTAAAGAACTATTTTCTACTAAAAACAAAAAATATAACTAATAAATTATATTACAACAAAAAAATATAAAAATATAAAAATATAATTTTAAATTTAATATTTCTTAAAATATATATAAAATATATAAAATTTTTAGATAATTTTGCCTTTGATCCTAAACTTTGAGAGAATTCTGTTTTGGTCCCTAATTTGCGATGTAAAATGTTAGTTGACATCATGTGTGGTGCTTATTGAATTTGGCATCAATTTAGGTGATTCCATAAACAGAAAGACCAAAATAAGATAATTTTGCACAATTAGAAATCTGATCATAACTTTTTAAAATTTATGAATCAAAATAAAATTTAGACCAAAATTTTAAAACTACAAATGTTATTAACCCATTTATTAATTAGTATATAACTGAATAAATTAATATACAATTAGAATGAAACTTGATTCTAAAACTTTATAATTCCATAATTAAAACAAAGCCTCACGGGCATAATACCATAACAACTCACAAGCATGAAAATCCAAGAGCAGGATACAAAAAATAATAATAATAATTCAACTAGATATAATTAAATCATTAAAATTAATTAGGGCCTTTTTGATGAGTAAAAAAAATAAATATTTCATAAGTAAAATATGATGGTCGATATAATTCAATCGTTCCGAGTACTTCAATAATTATGACATTACTTATGAATTTTTTATTTATTACCTTTACATCCTTTGAATAGAGTAAAATTTTCATATTATCGGATAAAATATATAATATTATTCTTTTTTATAAATAAAATAATAATAGCATCTTTATGTTAATGATAATATAGCCTGCGCACAATTCAAAGGATCGCCAACTAATTTAAAAGATAAAATATAGATTTATTTCATATAATTCACAAGAATAAGATTTTAAGTTGATATAAACTTTTTCATTTTTGGATATGAACAATGGGAGTAGACAAATATGTTTTGAGAAGGAAAAAACACGAAGAGTGTAGACACTTCATTTAGTTTGGGGTATTTTTTAAATTTATTTTTAGGGTTGTAGTATTTTATTGAGTTTAAGATTATTTATTTTGTTAATTAATTGATTTATGATTTTTTAAAAGAAAAAGAAAAAAGTTTGATTCGATTTGAAGTTTAGTATTGTCACGGGTCGAGACTTAAGTTTCGAACCTGCGCGGCTCCGGGACCCGGGCATTCACCCTTTCGACGTCTCAGATCAGCCTGACCGTCGCGGTTCATATCTTGTGAGTATTTCCGCTCTGGCCCCCCTGACCTCACGGTTTTATCTTACAAAAAGCGTCTCACAAGTTTAAGATTAAGTCTCTACATATATATCATTCTTTATCCACACATCTTCTTGATGTGGGATTGGGGGCGTTACAATTCTTCCCACCTTTATGGCTTGACGTCCCTATCCAAGCCCCCGAGGTTCCATCCACAGGACCAAGATCACCACCAGGGACTATTGTGTTAGCACTTAGGTATTCCCACCGGCTCCACCGTGTAGCACTTAGTGACTTCCACGACTGCGGACTGGTGACCGCTCTGATACTATTTGTAAAGACTCGCACCCAACCTGCGAGGTATTGTCCGCTTTGACCTGAAGGTCTCACGGTTTTGTCCCACAAAAGGAGCCTCACAAGGCGGAGATGGTGTGAACTCTTTTATATCCCAGTGACCCTCCTATTATGTTCGATGTGGGATTCAGGACTCCCCCTTAGGTCCGTGACATTCTCCTGCACCCAACCTCGTGACGCCCTCGTCATGGATACCTCCCTCAAGGTGCTTGACGTGGATCGAACGGTTTAGGGTTGGCTCTGATACCATTTGTAGAAACCCGCACCCAACCTGCGAGGTATTGTCTATTTTGACCCGAAGGTCTCACGGTTTTGTCCCACAAAAGGCTCCTTACAAGTTTGGGATTAAATCTCTACATATATGTCATTCCTTATCCACACATCCTTCTGATGTGGGATTGGGGGCGTTACAATCTCCCCACCTTTAATGCTTGACGTCTTTGTCAAGCCGAGTCCATCCACAGGACCAAGATCACACCAGACCATCGTGTAGCACTTAGTGACTCCCACAGCTCCACCGTGTAGCACTTAGTGACTCCCACGACTGTTGACTGGTGACCGCTCTGATACCATTTGTAGAGACTCGCACCTTTTGTAGGATAAAATCGTGAGGCCTTCGGGTCAAAACAGATAATACCTCGCAGGTTGGGTGCGAGTCTCTACAAGTATTCTAATTAAAAAAGAGTATGTGTTGATTTGAGAGGTGAACTTGGATTAAAAATCTAAAATTTATTTTGATTAGGAGATAGAAACCAGGAAAACATTTTCTTATTGTGATTTGGATTAGAGGCCTATAAAAAGACCTAATTACAATCAATTAGATACAATGAAGAATCAATTAGAAAAATCAAGAGAGAAAAAGTAAAATAAAGTAGAAAATTGAGATTTTTTTTTTATAATTTTTATAGTGTTTTGGATTTAGATAATTAAAAATTTGTTTTGGGAGTTCTGTGTGAGGGAAACAAGTTGAGAAG